CACTGTGTTGACCAGACTGGCCTCGAACTCCTGACCTCAGGTGGTCTCCCTGCCTTGGCCTCCCAAAGTGCTGGGATTACAGGCATTAGCCACCACTCCCAGCCAATTTTCTTTTTTAATTGTAACTTCTGGAATACATGTGCAGAACATGCAGTTTTGTTACATAGGTATACATGTGCCATAGTGGTTTGCTGCACCTATCAACCCGTCATCTAGGTTTTAAGCCCCACAGGCATTAGGTATCTGTCCTAATGCTCTCCCTCTCCTTCCCCCACTCACTAACAGGCCCAAGTGTGTGATGTTCCCCTCCCTGTGTCCATGTGTTCTCGGATCACTGCAACTTCTGCCTCCCAGGTTCAAGCAGTTCTCATGCCACAGCCTCCTGAGTATCTGGGATTACAGGCAGGAGCCATGACACCAAGCAAAGTTTTGTATTTTAAGTAGAGACAGGGTTTCACCATGTTGGCTGGGCTGGTCTTGAACCCCTGACCTCAAGAGATCGCCTGCCTTGGCTTCCCAAAATGCTAGGGTTACAGGTGTGAGCCACCATGCCTGGACAGAATTTCTTTACTTCTGCCTTAATTTTGTTATTTACCCAGTAGTCATTCAGGAGCAGGTTGCTCAGTTTCCATGTAGTTGTGTAGTTTTGAGAGAGTTTCTTAACCCTGAGTTCTTTCTATTTATTTATTTATTATTTTTAGAGATAGGGTTTCTGTGTTGGCCAGGCTGGTCTCAAACTCCTGGCCTCAAGTGATCTGCCCACCTCGGCCTCCCAAAGTGCTGGGATTACAGGCGTGAGCCACTGAGCCCGGCTCAATCCTGAGTTCTAATTTGATTACACTGTGGTCTGAGATACTGTTTGCTATGACTTCCATTCTTTTGCATTTGCTGAGGAGTGTTTTACTTCCAATTATGTGGTCAATTTTAGAATAAGTGCTATATGGTGCTGAGAAGAATGTATATCGCATTGGTTTGGGGTGGATAATTCTGTAGATGTCTATTAGGTCCACTTGGTCCAGAGCTGAGTTCAAATCCTGAATATCCTTGTCAATTTTCTGTCTTAGTGACGGTCTAATATTGACAGTGAGGTGTTAAAGTCTCCCACTGCTATTGTGTGGGAGTCTAAGTCTGTCTGTAGGTGTTTAAGAACTTGTTTTATGAATCTGGGTGCTGCTGTATTGGGTGCATATATATCTAGGATAGTAAGCTCTTCTTGTTGTATTGATTCCTTTACCATTATATAATGCCCTTCTTTGTCATTTTTTATCTTTGTTGGTTTAAAGTCTGTTTTATCAGAGACTAGGGTTGCAACCCCTCCCTTTTTTTTTTTTTTTTTTTTTTTTTTTTTTTTTTTTTTTGCTTTCCATTTGCCTGGTAAACATTTCTCCATCCCTTTATTTTGAGCCTGTGTGTGTCTTTGCACATAGGTGGGTCATCTGAACACCGCACACCAATGGGTCTTGACTCTTTTTTTTTTTTTTTTTTTTTTTTTTTGAGACCGAGTTTCGCTCTTGTTACCCAGGCTGGAGTGCAATGGCGCGATCTCGGCTCACCGCAACCTCCGCCTCCTGGGTTCAGGCAATTCTCCTGCCTCAGCCTCCGGAGTAGCTGGGATTACAGGCACGCGCCACCATGCCCAGCTGATTTTTAGTATTTTTAGTAGAGACAGGGTTTCACCATGTTGACCAGGATGGTCTCGATCTCTTGACCTCGTGATCCACCCGCCTTGGCCTCCCAAAGTGCTGGGATTACAGGCTTGAGCCACCGCGCCCGGCCGGGTCTTGACTCTTGATCCAATTTGCCATTCTATATCTTTTAACTGGGGCGTTTAGCCCATTTACATTTAAGGTTTATGTTATGTGTGAATCTGATCCTGCCATTATGTTGCTAGCTGGTTATTTTGCACATTAGTTGATGCAGTTTCTTCACAGTGTCGTCGGTCTTTATATTTTGGTGTGTTTTTGCAGTGGCTGGTACCAGTTTTTCCTTTCTATATTTAGTACTTCCTTTAGGAGCTCTGGTAAGGCAGGCCTGGTGGTGATCAAATCCCTCAGCATTTGCTTGTCTGTAAAGGATTTTATTTCTTCTTTGCTTATGAAGCTTAATTGGCTGGATATGAAATTCTGGTTTGAAAATTATTTTCTTTAAGAATGTTGAATATTGGCCCCTACTCTCTTCTGGCCTGTAGGGTTTCTGCAGAGAGATACGCTATTAGTCTGATGGATTTCCCTTTGTAGGTAACCTCACCTTTCTCTCTAGCTGCCCTTAACATTTTTTCCTTTGTTTCAACCTCGGAGAATCTGACAATTATGTGTCTTGAGGTTGCTCTTCTCAAGAAGTATCTTAGTGGCGTTCTCTGTATTTCCCGAATTTGAATATTGGCTTGTTTTGCTAGGCTGAGGAAGTTCTCCTGGATAACATCTTGAAGTGCGTTTTCCAACTTGCTTCCATTCTCCCTGTTACTTTCGGGTACACCAATCAAACATAGGTTTGGTCTTTTCACATAGTCCCATTCTTGGAGGCTTTGTTCATTCATTTTCAGTATTTTTTTCCTAATCTTGTTTTCACGCCTTATTTCAGTAAGTCGATCCTCAATCTCTGATATCCTTTATTCTGTCTGATCGATTTGGCTATTGATACTTGTGTATGCTTCACAAAGTTCTTGTGCTGTGTTTTGCAGCTCCATCAGGTCATTTATGTTCCTCTCTAAACTGGTCATTCTAGTTAGCAGTTTCTGTAACTTTTTGGCAAGGTTCTGAGGTTCCTTGCATTGGGTTAGAATATGCTCCTTTAGCTCAGAGGAGTTTGTTATTATCTACCTTCTGAAGCCTACTTGTGTAAATTTGTCAAACTCACATTCTCTGTCCAGTTTTGTGCCCTCGCTGGAGAGGAGTTGCAATCGTTTAGAGAAGAGACATTCTGTGTTTTGGAATTTTCAGCATTTTTGTGCTGGTTTTTCCTCATCTTTGTGGATTTATCTAACTTGGATCTTTGAGGCTGATGACCTTTGTGGGGGAGTCTTTTTTGTTGGTGTTGATGCTGTTGCTTTCTGCTTGTTAGTTATTCTTATAACAGACCCTTCTTCTGCAGGTCTACTGCAGTTTGCTGGAGGTATACTCCACACTCTGTGTCCTATCATCAGTGGAGTTCACAGAATAGCAAAGGTTCCCTCCTGCTTCTTCCTCTGGAAGCTTCATCCCAGAGGGGCACCAGCCTGATGCCAGCCAGAGCACACCTGTATGAGGTGTCTGTGAACCCCTCCCAATCAGGAGACATGGGGGTGAGAAACCCACTTGAGGAGGCAGTCTGTCCCTTAGCAGAGCCAATGCGCTGTGCTGGGATAATCCCTCTTGTCAGAATCAGCTGCTCTTTTCAGAGCCGGCAAGCAGGAAAGATTAAATCTGCTGAAGCTGTGCCCACAGCCACCCTTTCCCGCAGGTGCTCTGTTCCAGGGAGATAGGAGTTTATCTGTAAGCCCCTGACTGGGGCTGTTACCTTTCCTTCAGAGATGCCCTGTCCAGTGAGGAGGAATCTAGAGAAGCAGTCTGGCCACAGCCACTTTGCCACACTGTGGTAAATTTTGCCCAGTCCAAATCGCCCACTCTCCTTAGCACTGTCCAGGGAAAACTGCCTACCAAAGCTTCAGTAATCACGGATGTCCCTCCCCTCACCAAGTTCATTCATTCCATGTCAACTCCAGAGTGCTGTACAGGCGCTGAGGTTTTCAAGTCAGTGGTTCTTAGCTTGCTGGGCTCCATCGGAGTGGGACCCACTGAATGAGACCACCTGGCCCCCTCCTTTCCTGGAGAGTGAACGGTTCTGCCTCACTGGGGTTCCAGGCGCCACTGGGATACAAAAGAAAACTCCTGCAGTTAGCTTGCTGTCTACCCAAACAGCTGCCCAGTTTTGTGCTTGAAACCCAGGACCCTGGTGGTATAGGCACACGAGGGAGTATCCTGATCTGCAGATTGCAAAAACCATGGCAAAAGTATAGCATCTGGGCCGGCAGCACAGTCTCTCGTGGCTTCCCTTCCCTGCTCCTTCCACTTCCCGAGTAAAGCGATGCCCCACCCTGCTTCTGCTCACCCTTCATGGGTTGCCCCACTGCCTCACCAGTCTCAATGAGATGAACTGGGTACCTCAGTTGGAAATGCAGAAATCACCTGCCTTCTGCATTCATCTCACTGGGAGCTGCAGACTGCAGCTGTTCCTGTTCAGCCATCTTGGCCCCTCCCTTTTTTTAATTTTTAAAACTTGATGTAGCAATGAGGTCTCCCTATGTGGCCCATGCTGGTTTTGAACTCCTGGGCTCAAGTAATCCTTCCACCTTGGCCTCCCAGAGGGATAGGATTATAGTCATGAGCCACTGCACCCAACCAAATTTTGGATTTTGTTGATGAGCAGTGATGTTGAGCACCTGTTCATATACCTGTTGGCCATTTGTTTTTGTTTTTGTTTTTTGGGTTTTTTTGACGGAGTTTCACTCTTGTTACCCAGGCTGGAGTGCAACGGTGCAATCTCGGCTCCCTGCAACCTCCGCCTCCTGGGTTCAGACAATTCTCCTGCCTCAGCCTCCCGAGTAGCTGGGATTACAGGCATGCGCCACCATGCCCAGCTAATTTTTAGTATTTTTAGTAGAGACGGGGTTTCACCATGTTGACCAGGATGGTCTCGATCTCCTGACCTCGTGATCCACCCGCCTCAGCCTCCCAAAGCACTGGGATTACAGACTTGAGCCACCGCGCCCGGCCCAACTGTTGGCCATTTGTATGCCTCTTTCCTCATCTTCTTTCTCACCTAACAGCTCCCTTTAAAGAGTGTGTGCCCTCAGTCTATATCTTCTAGAGAACTGGCATAGCTTCAGAATATAAGGAGTTCCTCAAAATAGTATTTTATTTAAAGCATAAGGAGAAGACTAAAAAAATTATTATTGTATGTGGATAAGGTTTTGGTTAAAATGCATGTATGCTTTTTTCCTCTAGGTTAACATAAATAAAAGGATGATATCTCTAAAGATGCGTGGATTCATCCAAATTTGGAGCCGGCAGACTGGGATTACTAAATTGAAAGAAGCTCTCATTGAAACAGTGCAAAGAAAAAAGGAAATTAAACTGGTGGTCACTTTCAAATCTGGAAAATTTATAAGAATTTTTCAGCTCAGTAATAACATTAGAAGTGTGGTTCTTAGACATTGTAAAAAAAGAAAAAGTCACCTGCATTTAACTTTGAAAAACAATGTTTTCTTGTCTATTGACAAATTATCCTACAGAGATGCTAAACAGTTGAATATGTTCCTGGACATCATCCATCGAAACAAATTTCAACAACCCATGAAACCTGATGACGATTGGAGTGTGTTCGAAAGTCGGAATATGCCGAAGGAAATTGACAAAACTTCATTTTACAACATTTGTTACAAGCCAGGTTATGAAAAAGGAGGCAAAACGCCTTTCCCTCAGAGGGTGCCTTTGTTTACGTCAAAATCACCAACATATGTGAAAAAGGGATTATTAGAAAATCAAGGTGGGAAGAGAAAAGACACACTATCGTCTGACCTAGAGATGAATGAGGACATTCTGAAGGACATATCAAACAAGAAATATAAGACAGATTCCTTGAAGTATATACAAAGCTATGGGAATAATCCATCAAGTTTAGAGGACTCAGAAAAAGATGGAAATTTGGAACTTGAGCCTTCATTCAACTCTAATGGAAACCCTAACCTAGATGAGACTCTTCTTGCAACCCAGATTCTCGAGGCTGAAAATGGTTTGACGTTTCCATTAGAACCAGAGCACAGCCAGGATGACCCAAGATGCAACGAAGCCCAGGTGCCTCTTGACTCTCTTTCAGTGCAACTGCAGCAAGGCTTCCCCAACCTGGGAAACACCTGTTACATGAATGCAATTTTACAATCACTATTTGCGATTCCGTCTTTTGCTGATGACTTACTCACTCAAGATGTCCCATGGGAATATATTCCCTTTGAGGCTCTTCTTATGACCTTGACCCAGCTGCTTGTTTTGAAAGATTTCTGTAGTACAGAGATCAAGAAAGAATTACTTGGGAATGTTAAAAAAGTCATTTCGGCAGTTGCAGAAATATTTTCTGGCGACATGCAGAATGATGCTCATGAATTTTTAGGTCAATGTTTAGACCAGCTGAAAGAAGACATGGAAAACTTAAATGCCATTTTGAAGACTGGGAAAGAACGTGGGGACGAAGATTTATCTTCACAATTGCATGTTGGTAATGCTGCCACCAAAGTGTTTGTTTGTCCTGTTGTTGCTAATTTTGAGTTTGAATTGCAACTCTCCGTTATTTGTAAAGCCTGTGGTCATGCTGTTCTCAAGGTAGAACCTAATAATTATCTCTCCATCAACTTGCACCAAGACACAAAATCACTTCCTATGTCCATTCAGAATTCTTTAGATCTTTTCTTTAGAGAAGAAGAGCTTGAGTATAACTGTGAGATGTGTAAGCACAAGAGTTGCGTTGCAATGCACACACTTAGTAGGCTCTCCAGGGTCCTTATCATTCATCTGAAGCGCTATAGCTTCAACGATGCCTGGTTGCTGGTGAAGAATAATGAGCAAGTTTATATTCCCAAATATTTAAGCTTATCTTCTTATTGCAATGAAAGCACCAAACAACCTCTTCCCTTGAGCAGTAATGCACCCGTGGGGAAATGTGAAGTCCTGGAAGTCTCTCAGGAGATGATTTCTGAGGTCACCAGCCCATTAACACCGTCCATGAAGCCGACCTCAGCATCCAGTGACTCCCTGGTTCTACCCATGGAACCAGACAAGAATGCTGACCTTCAAAGATTCCAGAGAGACTGTGGAGAAGCAAGCCAAGAGCAGCATCAGAGAGTCCTGGAAAATGGCTCTGCACTAGAGTCATTATTGGTCAACTTTAGAGATAGGGCATTCGGTGAAAATGAGTCTCCAGTGGCTGACTCACTGATGGATCAGGGAGACATTTCTATTCCTGTGATCTGTGAAAATGGTAGTAAACCGATCAGCAGCCCAGACGCAAGGCTTCTCGACGGTCACCTTCAAGAGATGCCTCAACATCCAGAACTTCAGAAGTATGAAAAAACCAATACATTTGTAGAGTTTGATTTTGACCGTGTCACTGAGTCGACTGATAGCTGTTATAAGTGTAAAGAAAACAGGATTCCGGAAGGATATCCAGGGATGTCTGAACAGTATCCTTGTATTGGATGTATTGAGAAGAGCATCATAGAGGAACTTCTTCAGCAGGCACCACCTCCAGGTGTTAGGAAGCTGGATGCCCAGGAACATACAGAGGAGACCCTCAGTCCACCTACAGAATTCAGACTTCAAAAGGCTGACCTGAATCACCTGGGGGCATTTGGTTCTGATAACCCAGGAAACAAAGACATTTTAGATACAGAGAACACAAGAGACGAAGTCAAGGAACTGATGAGAAACATGAAGATGGGGGATCCTCTCCAGGCCTACAGACTCATCAGTGTTGTCAGCCATATTGGGAACTCCCCAAATTCAGGCCATTACATCAGCGATGCATATGACTTTCAGAAGCAGGCCTGGTTCACATACAATGATCTATGTGTATCAGAAATCTCAGAGACCAAAATGCAGGAGGCGAGGCTTCACTCTGGATATATCTTCTTTTACATGCACAATGGGATTTTTGAGGAGCTGTTAAGAAAGGCAGAGAACTCTCGGCTGCTTAGCACACAGGCAGAGGTGATTCCTCAGGGGGAGTAAGATGACTCTTTTTACCAGGCGGCCCCAAACTTTTTACACAGGGGGCCAGTTCACTGTCCCTCAGACTGCTGGAGGGCCGCCACATACTGTGCTCCTCTCACTGACCACCAATGAAAGAGGTGCCCCTTCCTGAAGTGCGGCGGGGAGCCGGATAAATGGCCTCAGGGGGCCGCATGCAGCCCGCAGGCCGTAGTTTGGGGACGCCTGCTTTATACGGACCTGCTTGACAAACTCCCTGGGCCTCACTTCATCCACAAAAGGAGAATCCTATACTTCACCAGAATGAAGGAACAAGTATCTCAGGATGAAAGCTCAATGAAAAACCCTTATTTTGGGGGAATTTATTTAGATCCCAGAACTTAGGCCCATATGCATATTTTCCCTACAAGATTAGAATGGCGCTTTTCATGTTTTGACACGATGGTTTTCAAAATGTTCTTCAACCAGCAACAGCAGCAGCTAGGGACCGATTAGAAATGCAGATTCTTGGGTCCCCTCCAGACCAACTGGTGCAGAAACAGGAGGTGTGGCCTAGCAATCTGATGGAGACTCCAGTGCTCAGGAAAGTTTGAAGAACACTGTTAATGCATGGATTATCTTGGTGTATTTTTATACTGTTGATATGGATTGTTTATGTTATATAAATGATTTTCATTGAATGTTTTACATCTCTTTATTTTGTCCCACTGAACCTAAAACTAGATAGAGTCACCCCAAAAGTGGCAGCAGAGAAATTCCAACAGATGAATGCCCAAAACCATTCTGAGAGCGGGTCAGTTGGGATTCCAAAGGAAGAATCACTAAACGCCAGGGGGACCTGTCCAGAGCATTTATTAGAAGGAACTTATAATAAATAAGTGCTGCAGCCTATCTTTGGGTGGATGGTGAGAGAAAAAAGCATGGTCTACCTGCTGGGCACAGTGGCTCACACCTGTAATCCCAGCATTTTGGGAGGCCAAGGTGGGAGGACTGCTTAAACAGAGGGGTTCAAAACCAGCCTGGCAATATAACAAGACCCTGTCTCCACAAAGATAACTTAGCCAGGCATGTCTCAGCTACGCAGGAAGCTGAGGTGGGAAGATCACTTGAGCCCCAAGTTCAAGGCTGCAGTGAGCTATGATTGCACTACTGCACTCCAGCCTGGGTGAAAAAGACCCTGTTTCCCAAAAAAGAAGAAGGAAGGGAGGATGGTCTACCTTGGTGTGTCTGCTGCAGTGAGAGCATCAGGCTATGGGGTTTATTCTATTTTAATTTTTGTTTTGAGACGGAGTCTCTTGCTCTGGCTGGAGTGCAGTGGCACGGTCTCTGCTCACTGCAACATCTGTCTCCCGGGTTCAACTGATTCTCCTGCCTCAGCCTCCCAAGTAGCTGGGATTACAGGCGCCTGCCAGCACGCCCAGCTAACTTTTTGTATTTCTAGTAGAGACGGGGTTTCACCATGTTGGTCAGGCTGGTCTTGAACGCCTGACCTCAGGTGATCGGCCTGCCTCAGCCTCTCAAAGTCCTGGGATTGCAGGCATGAGCCACTGCGCCTGGCAGGGTATGGGATTTATATCAGTTTATAAGGAATTTGGTTGAGGGCTGGGACCATTTTCTTTCAGTGTTTTGGGCAACAACTTAAACACCTCTATCAGTGCCTGGGAATGTTTCAGGCTCTGCTTTGGATTCAAGCCCCTGGGAAAAACCAGCAGCTTGTCTGGTCAGAACAGTCAAAGCACTCCATGATTTTCAGCTAGGACACACGAAGAAAGCAGGGAGTGAATACTTTTCCTTTGTAAACTTCTTAAAATAATAGCCAAATCAATATATATACCATTTGCTGGCTTCCACATGTGTTTTCGACTGGTTACTAGTAAAATTTGCTTTGCAGCAATCAACTGTATTTACCATTTTCTATGAATTTCAGGGTATAACATCAGGGTTATATGGAAAATGCAGTATATTAAATATCCATGTGATTTTGTGAATTCAAAAGCACTGTAAAATGCTGCTTATGTTATTAATATGAATAAAACTATAAGCCCATCTTCATAAATGTACAACATTGCCTAGTGGCCAAGCCTTAAACAGCAAATAGTGTACACAGTATCAATAGGTGATGTGTTAGACTTTGAATTCAGCAAGGAGTGAATAACAATTTTTTTAAATGGCCTTGTGAGTAGATAGATGGAACTTGAGAGGATTTTGTGGGTACAAAGAGATAAGAAGAGCCTAGTGATTGATATACAAGGAACAAGGCAAAATTAGGCAGAGTAGGTATGGGAAAGAATAGAAGAGCCGGCCGGGTGCGGTGGCTCACGCCTGTAATCCTATCACTTTGAGAGGCCAAGGTGGGTGGATCACTTGAGGTCAGGCATTCAAAACCAGCCCGAGCAACTTGGTGAAACCCCGTCTGTACTAAAAATACAAAAAATTAGCTGGGCATGGCGGTGGGCTCCTATAATCCCAGCTACTTGGGATGTGGAGGCAGGAGAATCACTTGAACCTGGGAGGTGGAGGTTGCAGTGAGCTGAGATTGTGCCACTGCACTCCAGCCTGGGTGACAGAGTGAGACTCCATTAAAAGAAAAAAATGGCCATGTGAGTAGATAGATGGAAGTTGAGAGGATTTTGTGTGTACAAAGAGATAAGAGTCTGGTGTTATATAAGGAATGGGGCAAAATTAGGCAGAGTAGGTGTGGAAAAAAAGAGAAGAGCAACCAGAAACATATGTATGAGGTTTTAAAACATATATTATTTTTAGCATTTAAGAGGAAATGAAGGAAAGTACTATAAGAAACAAGCTGAGTGCCATGACTCATACTTGTAATCCCAGCACTTTGGGAGCCTGAAGTAGAAGGATTGCCTGAGAGTTTGAGGCTGTCATGAGCTATGACTACACCACTGCACTCCAGCCTGGACAACAGAGTGACACCCTGTCTCAAAAAAAAAAAAGAAAGAAAGAGAGTTCCCATGAAGCAATGCCAAGATAGCTTTGTGCTCTGGAGAGAAAGCTGTACTTCCTGGTCATGGTTTCCAGTACTCTATACCTCCAGAGAAACTTCTCCACTCAAGAATTATAGAAATGATCCTTAAAAGTATAAAGTACTGTATTTGATTTATTCATTCATTCATTTATTTTCTTTGATTTTTGAGATAGAGTTTTGCTCTTGTCGCCCAGGCTGGAGTGCAATGGTGCAATCTTGGCTCACTGCAACCTTCACCTCCCAGGTTCAAGCAATTCTTCCTCAGCCTCCCAAGTAGCTGGGATTACAGGTGCCCAAAACCATGCCTGGCCAATTTTTACATTTTTAGTAGAGACGGAGTTTCACCATGTTGGTCATGCTGGTTTTGATCTCCTGAGCTCAGGTGATCCGCACGGCTTGGCCTCCCAAGGTACTGGGATTACATGTGTGAGCCATTGCACCCAGCCAAAAGTAGAGTCTTTTAAATGTTTTTAAAGATATGGATACCACTGGTCATTATCACTGGAATAAAACTCCGTAAGGGTTTTTGGCACATTTGGTTTATTGCTACATCTTCAGTGTTTAAGAGTTCCTGGTACACAAAAGGCATCTAATAAATATTTATACTTAATAAACATTTGCTGAGTAAGTCAAATCAGTTTTCAAAGGGTACTGTGCATAATAAGTCCTCACTACCTTCAAAGATGGCCTTCAAATTACAGGCCATTTCAACATGAATTCTGTGGTGACAATTCCAGGCTACCATATTTTCCCATGTTTTTTAAAGTGCATGGGGTTCCTATCCGGAGTGAATTCTTTTCTGGTGCCTAACAAGGTATGACTTGTCAGCGAAGGCTTTTCCACATTCAGCACATTGATAAGGCTTTTGCCGGGTATGGATTTTTTTATGCAAACTAAGGCTTAGTTTCCGGATGAAAGTCTTTCCACATTCACTACATCTGTAGGCCCTTTCTCTGCTGTGAGTTTTCTGATGCGTATGAAGGTTTGACTTCTGATAAAAGGCTTTTCCACAACTATTACATTCATAGGATTTTTCCCCAGTATGGATTTTTTTGTGTTTAATGAGGTTTTTCTTCTGGATAAAGGTACTTCCACATAGCTCACATGCATAAGCTCTCTGCCCAGTATGAATTCTTTCATGATCAATGGCATTTGATTTCTGGGAAAAGGCCTTCTCACATACGCTACATTTATAGGGTTTCTCTCCCGTGTGTATTCTCCGGTGTTTCACAATATCTGACTTGTAAATGAAAGCCTTTCCACAGTCCTTACATTGAAAGGGTTTGTCTCCCCTGTGAACTTTTTTATGTTGAATGAGAGTTGAGCTCTGACTGAAGGATTTCTCACATTCATTACACTGATAGGATCTCTTGGCATTATGAATTTTCTCATGAGTAATGCAGGATGATTTCCAGGAAAAGGCTTTTCCACAGGTCTTACATTTATAGGGCTTCTCTTTAGTATGAATTTTCTGATGTTGAAAGAGATTTGACTTCTGCTTATAGGCGTTTCCACATTTCTCACATTTATAGGGCCTTCCCTCTGCATGAGTTTTCTGATGTTTATTCAGCTTCCACTTCTTCTGGAATGCTTTTCCACAGTTAGGACATTCAAAGGATTTCTGGCTGGCAGGCATCCCCAGGTGACTCTGAAGGCGTGACTTGGAACTGAATAACTTTCTACGCGCATTACAGTTAAGTTGTTTTCCTACAAATTTGGATGGATTATCACCAAATAATTGTCTGTATCCACTGTCTTTATGAGAATTATTTTGTACATAGCTTTTCAAATTGAAATTACAGTTCCAATGCCTTTCAAATGGGCCACATTCGAGGAATCTAGATCTGGAAGAAACATCATCTATGCTCAGTCGAAGTATTCGCTTAGATTTGTCATGTTCTGTGCCTTTCTGTGTAGTCCGCGTTTTCTTACTGATTGGTGGGACTTCTCCTGAAAGATTCTCTTCCACATTCTGGGGGTTCCAAATCTGCCCTCCAATGTCCCAGTTTTTTTCTAAAATGGAATACAAAGGAAT